CTAGGGCCCTTCGGGAACCCCTTGTCGAAGGCTCCGAAGTACACCTGCAATCACAAGTTCTGAACAAAGAGAAGTGAAGGTGTTAGCGAATTCTAGGGCTTGTGGCTTCACCCCCAACAGTGAGCCATGAGCAATGTTTAGCAACGAGAGGAATTCTTTAAGTCTAGCTAAGATGATAGGCGATTTAGTGAGTGCAAACTCTTTTTCGGTATCATTCCTTCCACGCATTTGCTTATATTAGAAGCATCTCTATATATTCCCTTTCACTTTTGCGGATCCTCTTTGTGCCCCCGATAAGCCTGATTGAGGGAGGAAAATAATAAAGAGAAAAAATGATTCCTAGCTTAGTTTCGTGGTCTAAAATTTTATCTGGTAATCGGAGTTGTGACTTGGCCTTTTAGCTGATTCTTCCAATCTGATTTCAGCGAACCTTTAGACAACAGCTAGCTTAACCACCTTTTATCAGCTTATACAACATGTCAATTTTTAGGCCTTGTTTGAGTACGTCCTGTTAGCACCACTGATGCACTCAAATTCTTTCATGAATGATAATTTGACGGGTCAAGCATGCTTCTGAGAAATCTACTGTTAAAGAGAATTGTGGGTTGCTTTGCATGGAACAGAAGGAGAGATAGGACGGCCATATGCATGCTGGCTTTATTCATCTCACTACCGGAATTCATAGGTTTGCCATGTGCCCACGGCACACGGCGAAGGCAAAAAATCACTCGGCAAAGCGTTTGCCGAGTGTTACATCTGGCAAACGGCACTCGGCAAAAAAGAACTCGACAAAGCTGTCTTTGCCGAGTGTTTTTATCGAGCACTCGGCAAAGATGTTGCCGAGTGCTAAACCAACACTCGGCAAAAAATATTTCGAAAAATATAAAAAAAACACTGCCACCACCACACCGCCGTCGCCACCACGCCGCCGCCACCACCACGCCACAGGCAGCCACGCTGCGTTCGTCCTCTGGAAGCTATTGGACCGCCGACGTTGGGGAACGTGGAGGCCGCCGCCAGATCCACAACAGGTTTGGGGCGTGGTGGCTGCATCTGCCTAGGAGTGTACCGAATCTGCATTCATCGACTCCACCAAGGGCGTCCACGCTTAGGCTGCTCCACCGCCGGCAGGGAGTGTCGACGCGGTGCGGTCCGCCGCCCCATGCTCCGGATGCACCACTGGCGGGGCCGTCCACGCCGGGGCCGCACAGCCGTGAAAATCAAGAGTGGCGCGCAATCGCCGTCGAGATCCGGCCCACCCATTGATGGCCGCCGCCGCTACCGCCAAAGGGAGGGGGTGCCGCCGCCATCGCCTGGGGGACGGCCGCCACGTGACTGCACTACGGTGAGGGGCGCTGCCGCCCGTGAAGGTGGAGGAGGTGCCGCCGCGACAGGAGGTGGACGGGCGGCCGCCACCGCCGCCAGGATGGTGTAGATGCCGTCGGAGGTGGCCGCCATGCGTGTGAGGTCGGATCTGCCATCGCCAGTCCCACAACAGCCAGATGGGAGGACGAAGATGCCGTCGGTGGGGAGGATGAAGATGCCGCCGGATCCACAGCCTCCTCGATGGATCCACGGGATGCGTCGGCAAGGGAGCTGGGGAAGGCCGCTGACTTTCGAGGTGGAGGGGAGAGGGCGCCGCCGGGTGGGATCGAGCCACCGCCGCCACTCTAATCCAGACGGGAGCTGGGGGAAATGAGGGAAAAGTAGGGTTAGTGACGTATTTATACAAGGCACCACTTTGCCGAGTGTCAGATCACGACACTCGGCAAACATATCTTTGCCGAGTGTTTGCACTCGGCAAACCTTTTTTCCCATTTCCTTCTTTTCCATACTTTTAAAAGAGGAAAAAGTGAAATTATTTGTCGAGTGCTAAATAATTACACTCGACAAACATATTTTTTTTGCCGAGTGCCAGATAATTACACTCGGCAAACATATTTCTTTGCCGAGTGCCTAGTTTGGCCGAGTGTTTTTTTAGTTTGCCGAGTGTCAAACTTTGCCGAGTGTTTTTTGCCTCGTTTGCCGAGTGCAATTATTTTGCCGAGTGTTTTTTTTCAGCACTCGGCAAAAAATTTGTTTGCCGAGTGTCCGATGGATTGCACTTGGCAAACCATATTGCACTCGACTTACCTTCTGTTTCCGGTAGTGTCTCAGTGCTTGACTGACTTGTACGCTTTTTAGTGCTTTCCCGCAAAGTTGAGTGACAATATAGTACCTTGCAAACAAGCTTTTCAATCTCTACACGTGCACCTTCCTCCTCGTTTTTGTCGAGATTTCAGTTCATTTTCCTTCTCAATCAGAAGAGATTGTTTAATAGTCAGGTATCTAGCTTGCCCTTAAGTGAAGGTAATAGTCAGGTGCGGTGTTGCCTTGCATTACCTCTGTATATGATGAAGCCTGAGGAAGGTATCTAGCTTGAATACTTCAGAGTGGTACTAGTAGCTAGCTAGTTAGTCCCGGGCAGCTAGCATAGTCCAAGAACGCTAGCAGAAATTTAACTTGGGACAAACAAAAACGGTGGATCTTGTACAATTCACTAGTTGTACAAACAGAGGATCGTCAACGAGGTGCCAATAGCTGAATTCCTTGTTTTGCCTTTTTTTTTCTCGAATACGCAAAAGAATTGTGTATCATTGTATTAAGAAGAAGAATTGTTTAAATTACAGGATTCCTTGTTTTGCTTTATTGTTATAGTTTTGTCTTCCATATATATGCTCGGAATCTATGTTTGAAATCATGGTGCTAATCACACTCGTTGGACACACTTATTATTTGCTTGTCTGCTGCAGTTAGAATTCTTTTTTTTTTGTGGAATCCCATAACTGAATCTTTAGCGTACACAAAGGTATAAAATGGATAATGTGGAATCTAGGCAGCTTCAAGGAAACAGAGCTGTAGGCCGAGCTCTGTTGATGTAGGGTACATGAGATTATCAGATTGGCATCACCTTTTGATACATTCATATTTGTATTAGGAGACTACTTTCATGTTATTCCTCATCTTCATTTCCTAACGTGGCTGGCTACCAATCAGCTCGTTGGGCGCAGAAAGTAGAGAAGATAATGTTGTCAACAGAAGCTTCCTAGTACGTCGATCATGTTCACGATCATGTATCAAGTTAATAAGAAGCTCTACTTTTTGCAGCAATAGTGCTCCATTTTTATTCATTAGAACAGAGAAATAGTATTTCTTATCATCTGGAACTCCTTTTCTCCAAGTGTTCTTGAGTGCACATTTAAGCATGCAAAATTTTTATTTCAGTGCTTGACTGGCATCTAGGCCTATCCTCTACAATATTGCCTAGAGTAAAGGCAGTTTTTAGGGTAACAGTCATCTTCATTTCAAATATGAATATGATGAGTGTCGTACTCCAGTCCACTCGCCTGGTGTTCAGGCATACCTTTTCCTGGGATGGGATCAGTGTATTTTTCAAATAAATTATGTGTTAGCTTTGCTGTGTGACCTCTCATATTACAATGATTAACCGAGAAGATTGAAAAAGGTGCTAAAGCTAAGGAACTGTATATCCAGAAAAAAAGGGACAATTTCCTTTCCACTCCTTCCATGCAATTGCTTAGCTTATATTCATATACACTTCATGGCCCGTCCTCTTTTGTTGATCATCCTGATGGCGGCGGACAAAAGAGAAACAACAATACCTTAGTTTGAGGTAGAAAACTTAATACATATATATTATACACTAGTTTTCATATTTGTTTGTTTAAATATCTTATATTACTACATCCTATACCATTTTTAACTGTGTTATTTTCATTTTGTTGCTCATTGATGGATCCAACTTAATTATATCATGGTATGGTTCGTATAGATACAAAGACAAATTGTGAATGAGTTGTAAGAGCATCTCTAAGAGTCCCCTAAATCCCTTCCTAATCCTTATTTTTTAGCAAGATGAAAAAAACCCGCTCTCGAACAACTCCTAATTCATCCTCCTAATCTTTTAGAACTTGAAAAAGTCATCATGTTCCGCATAAAGTTACGTGCTTCCAAGTCGTGCGTATCTTCTCTCCCCGCACGTGTTTGTCAGCCAATCTAAAGGTGTAAGGGCGTGGAAAGAATAAAGAATAGGAAAGGGTTCCTGATGCAAATGTACAAGAGAGAAAGAATATATAAAAGTAGTTAGGATAATTTAGAAATAGTATATAATTTCTACTGTAAAATTATCTTCTATATTTTATGAGTGGATTATTAGAAACTCTTGGAGAAGGCTTTCTTTATTCCTTCCAATAATTTTTTAGAGTTATAAAACTCTATTTCTAGGAAGAAAATATTAGGTACTCTTAGAGATGCTCTAAGGATAAATTAAGACGGTATCTAATAATGTAAACAAGACTGAACTAATTATGCTTTTAAAGTGTGTCAAGAACTTAAGGCACACCACTGGAGTACTGGATCACCTAGATCCTCTCGTACGCAGTATCAAGAGGGGTCCGGGTCGCCCAACCTTCGGAGTAATTTCTTGTGAAGAGCGACTTGTGTGACTTTGTTCTTTCCACACATAAAAAAGCTTAATCCTTCTTATTGCTTGACTGACTTGTATGTTGGGCGCTTTCGGCAAAGCTCGATCTAAAACATAGTACATTTTCCCCTTCTTTTGATGCAGTACGTGTCCTTGAACCTTCAGCTCGATTATTAGCAAATGGAATGGAATAGTTAAGTTAGTGGAACCATCATCATTCCGGTGTAGCTATAGTGTTGAATGGTCTATATATAGACATGCATGGCCCTTAGCTTGGCTATGATCGAAACACAAGAAACACGAAGAGGTCGTAGTCATTGCTTGGTTAGGGAGCTAGCTAGCCGAAGGTGAGTGAGCTCTAGCTAGCTCAAGGGACGCAGCCAAACAACTTGCAGACAAATGGAAGAGCAGCAAGGTGCCAACAAATGTTCTCCGCTGATAGATCAGTTTTTGTCGATTTGCCAGTAGAACGGCAGTATAAAGTACTTAATATATAGCTAGCCAATTGTGATATTTGATGACGAATATAATACTCAGATACTGTCACTTGTTGACTGATTTTCTGCGGCAGAGCGATCATCTGGTGACTCCCAGTCCCCTGCGGTTGTCGGCGGGAGCACTGGAGCAGGAGCTAACACTACACCGCCGCCTTCTCGGTGGCTCTACACCGTGCACTCCCACCATCGGCGTGGTGCGGGAACTGACCCGCAACGTGGATCCGCAGGAGCACGATCCGCAGCATGTCTCCATCGGCCCCTACCACCGGAAAAGGAGCCCCAACGTCTGGAGGTACAACGACAAGCTAGCAAGCCTCGATGCCATTCTTTCGGCGGCGACTCCTGCTAGGACGGTGGAGGCGTACATCGCCGAGCTAGCTGCCGACGAGGTCCGTGCAAGGAGCTACTACGCCAACACGTTCGACGACATGACGAGCGGGGAGTTCCTGCGCATGCTGCTTCTCGACGCCTGCTACGTGCTCCACTGGTTCGGCAACGTCGTCGGCGTCTCCCAGAACGGGGCGCCAGCAGCCAATGGCCACGTTCAGGGTGGCTACCACTACCAGCACCAGGCGGGCAGCGACAACAAGGAGGAGGTCCTCGCGGTGGTGCGCGACGTGTTCTACCTCGTGGAGAACCAGATACCATACTTCATCCTCGACAAGGTCCACAAACTAACCTTTTCTGGTGGCACTAGCAGCGTTGTTCCACTTTCGGACACTATCCCAGAAAACCTCTCCCAGTATATCCTGCAGAAGCAGCAGTACACGATGGCAAGGATCACGCTTCCGGCGGAGCCTGGCAACCTCCTGCACCTTGTGCACATGCACTTCTTGAAGCCCACCTCTACCGTAAGTGTAGTAACCTCGTCACCAACCGGGCAGCAGCCAGTGGGAAGGTGGCGCACGGCAATGGACTACTACATCAGCGGCGTGAATTTGAAGAGCCGCCCCGTCGGCGCCGGGTTAACGGAGGCCCGCTGCATCCTGGACGTGACGCTGGACACCAACGCTGGACACCGGCAGTGGCACGCTGGTGGTGCCCCGCCTGAGGATCGACGCCGAGACCGGTCGGATCCTGCGCAACTTGGTGGCGCTAGAGCAGCACAACCCCGTTGTCGGGAGCCACGTCACGGCGTACTGTGTCTTGATGTCCCAGATGGCGTGCACCGCCAGTGATGTCGGCCTCCTGTCGAGGACAGGGGTCATCGTTCGCCTCCTGACGAACGACGGCGAGGTCGCCGCCTTCTTCTCCAATCTCTCACTACTACAGAATAGCACTTCACTGCCGGCCTCATCATTGTCGGAATTAGGAGAACCGGCAGTGTTGACCCTTCACTGCCGGTTCTTTGCTCAGAAAATTAGAAATTGATTTAGGATGTGACTGAACCGGCAGTGATAACAACTATCACTGCTGGTTTGTGTCTCTAACCGGCAGTGGCTTGATGGCCACGTATCACTGTCGGTTCAAGCCAAGAGCCGATATTGATTGGGCTTTATCACTGTCGGTTCTATCCATAAACCGACGGTGATAAGCCTACAGCACAAAAAGGCTGCAGCCGTCCTCTCCTTCCTCCTCTCTTCCATCCCGAGAACAGAGGCACACGTTTGGGTCCTTTCCTCTATTGTTGCGGCTGCTCTTTACCATGAAGCTAGCACTTGGATTTTGAAGAATGACTTGATCTTTTTGCTTTAAGGTTAGTAACAAACATCCACTTCTTTGATTTTGTTTCTTAATTAGCTTTGTTTTTATGGCTACGTTGCTTGATTATTATTCTAGTTCTTTCTCCATTCTAGAGAGCACTTTTTCAATTGAATATTTATGCAAGGCTTAAATTATGGTGAATCCATCATCCAAAAGGTTGGTGTCTATGAATATATTTAAATTCGTAGCTAATTATTCCATGGTGGTCAAGATCATCATTGTTAGTATGTGATGCTATAATTAGTTCTTAGAAGTAGAGTAGATTCTTTTACAATTTGTTGGGAAAATTAATCTATGTGTCACATAAGACCGCATTGTTTGGAGCTACATTGTTGTTCATGATCATGTCTCCAATTTTAGACTTATTTTTAAAATTAGTGTCTCCATTTTTATGTGGCATGGAGTAGAATAATTGTTTTTCATTATTGTGCAATAATTTTTTTATGGGGCTGCGTTTTTCAATTTATATGGGCATTGTTTGGAGCTACATTGTTGTTCATGATCATGTCTCTAATTTTAGCCTTTTTTTAAAATAAGTGTCTCTATTTTTATGTGGCATGGAGTAGAATAACTGTTATTCATTATTGTGCAATAATTGTTTTTTACTATGATTTTCAATTTACAGGGCCGGGGCTATCAATTTCAATTTTTCAATAATTAGTGTACAATAATATTTTCCAAAAATTGTACTTTTGAGCTACAATTGTTGTTCATGAAGCTCGATTTCTTATTAATTCCTTGTAATTACTGTCTTATTATTTTTTTGTGCAGAGATGGATCGAGAGTGCATGCATCTGTTCCGAACGGACAAGCGGTACATACATGGCGTCAGCCAGTTTATCACCGATGCCAAAGCCCATGCTTAGAATGGGAATCCTGTCTTCTGCCCATGCAAAGATTGCAAGAATCAAATGAACTTTCGTTAAATTGAGTCTATACGATCACTTGATTACCAAGGGGTTCATGCCAAACTATACGATATGAACTATGCATGGCGAGGTTGGTGTGAATATTTTGTGGGAAAATAATGATGATGTAGACATGCCTGACGTAGCCATCTACGATGCTGACGAGGAATCCGGTGTCAACACAGAACCTATGGTCAAAATTAATAATATGTTTAGGAACACGCTAACTGATGACACTGAGGACAATAATGATGGCATTTCCCAGCTACTACGTAATGTAGAGGACGAATGTTTTAGTGAAAGACAGCTGAGAAAGCTAGATAAAATGAGACAAGATGGCAAAACACAATTGTATAAGAATTGTCCAATGAGCAAACTGGAAGCCGACATCATGCTGTTAGAGTTTAAATCGACAAACGGTTTGAGCGATAAAGGCTTCGATCAGTTGTTAGGTATAATAAAGAAAATGTTCCAAAAAATGAGTTGCTAGAAAAGACATACTTGACCAAGCAAATGATCTGCCCCATCGGCCTCGAGGTTGAAAATATCCACACGTGTTCCAATGATTCCATATTGTACCATGGAAAAAAATACAAAGACTTAGACAAGTGCCCCAAGTGTGAAACTCCACGGTACAAGAAAGGGCCGTTAGATGTGGGTACCATGACTAGAGGAGGTCCCGTAAAGGTCGTTTGGTATTTTTCTATAGCTCACCGGGTGCATAGGCTGTTTGCATATGCAAAGTCAGCCAAGCTGTTGTGTTGGCATGATGAAGAGCGTAAGAAAGATACAATGATGAGGCACACCGCCGATGGGCATGACTGCAGGACTGTCAATACCATGTTCTACAAGAACATCGGTGGAGAGGTAAGGCACCTTTGGTTTGCTTTGAGCACAGATGGGATGAATCCTTTCGACCAGGTTAGAAGCAATCATAGCACCTGGCCAGTGACGCTCTGTATATACAACCTTTCACCTTGGGTCTATATGAAGCGGTCGTACATTCAGATGCCACTACTGATCCAAGAGCCAAGACAACCTGGGAATGACATCGATGTGTTTCTAGAACTAGTGATTGATGAACCAGTGGAGATGTTTGAAAAGGGTGTGCCAGATGTTTGGAATGAGTACAAAAAGGAACATGTCACGATCAAGGGAGTATTTATCGCTACAATCATCGACCTATCAGGTCGAGGTTCGTTGTCCAGAGAGAAGACAAAAGGCTATACTGGATGTGTCGAGTGCTTGGACGACACCGATGCGGTAAATCTACTAAATAACTCAAAGATAGTTTATATGGGACATCATAGGTTCCTACCTAAGGATCACCCTTACCGCGGGAACAGAAAAGATTTAAATGGTACTATTGAGAAATGCTTAGCTCCAAAATATTGAGATGGGCCTGCGATACTTCGAGAACTCAACAAACTGGAGGTTGTCCTTGGGAAGGAGGACAATGCAGTAGCAGCGCCTGATGGGAGCATTTGGAAGAAAAAATCGGTTTTCTAGAAACTACCTTACTGGCCATTTTTGAGTGTACGCCATTGTCTTGATCCCATGCACATCACTAAAAACGTGTGTGCTAACACGCTTAACACCTTGATGGACACCGGGGGGACATCAAAGGATTCACTAGCCACATGACTGGACATGCAACACATGGGAATCAGGAAGGAGCTGCATCCCATGGAGCTAGAGAATGACCAGTTCGAACTTCTGGTTGCATCATGGACATTGAAGAAGGAAGAAAAGCGTGCACTTATTTCTTTCTTCAATGAACTCAAAGTCCCGATGGGCTACTGTGCGAACCCTAAGAGGCTAGTGAACATGAGAGAACTCAAGTTCAACTATGGCCCTATGAAGGCCCATGACTGTCATGTCATTATAACTCAGCTGCTCCCTATTGCCCTGCGTGGTATCCTCCCCCAAAGGTCCGCACCCCAATCATAAAGTTGTGCTCGTTCTTCAATGTGATCTCAAAAAAGGTCATTGATGTGTCCACGCTAGAGCAGCTACAGCAGGACATAGCTAAAACTCTTGTTAGGCTTGAGATGCATTTCCCGTCGACTTACTTTGATATCTCATTGCATCTGCTCATTCATCTTGTTGACCAAATTAGAGCCCTTGGCCCAATATACCTACATTAGATGTTCCCTTTTAAAAGATTGATTAAAGTTTTCAGGAGGTATGTTAGGAACAAATTTAGGCTAGAAGGGGGCATGGTTGAAGGATGGTCAACGAAGGAGGCCATTGAGTTCTACACATATTATCTGGACATCAAAAGGGTCGAAGTTCTAGAATCTCGTCACGAGGGAACACTACGTGGCAAAGGAACGATCGGGGAGAAATCTGTTATAGTAGATGACCCTGTTTCTTTCAGACAAGCACAATTTGCTATTCTCCAACAAGCCGAGGGTGTGATACCATACATTCACAAGCATAAACAATCGCTGCAAACTCTGTATCCGAGCAGGTCACAGGCTTGGCTGGATAAAAAACATAAGGAGGAATTTGTCAACTGGTTGGGACACCACATGCTTGGAATAAAGTTGGGTAATCAACTGGATACCTTAGCCAAGGGACCTTCGAGTACATATCTTAAGTCCCAAGGGTATGAGATCAATGGATTCACATTTTACACAAAAAAGTAAGATGGAAAGAGCACATACCAAAATTGTGGTGTTCGTTTTGATGCTCACGATGAAAACGGCAATGTGTAGGCGACATACTATGATTTCATAGAGAAGATATGAGAGCTAGCTTACGGTCCATTGAAGGCAGCTCTTTTTTGCTTCTAGTGGGTCCGGCTCGAGGAAATCAACACTGACAGCGAATGGTTCACTACCGTTGATCTCACTAAGACCGTATATAGAGACGACCCCTTCGTCCTTGCAAGAGATGTTCTGTAAGTCTTCTAGGAAGATTGTCGTCGATAGAGTGATGGACGAAGAAGACTATAGGGGTTATCAGGAAATGCCTCTATTCAGGGCGAACGTACCCCTACCTATCCTTCAAGAGGGTGACGAACCTGCTTACGTACGGCTTGATCACAATGAGGCCCTCATTGTTGATGCACCTAAAGATAGTTAAATTATTGTTAACTATGTAATCATTATTCGGACGTTGTTCACCAACTATGTAATCTAATTTATATTTTGTGTGCTTCTCTAAAATTAAATAATTGACTATGTAATCAAATATTGAGATGATGTTCAGAAACACTATTATTTGATTATTATAAACCATTAATTAATTATCATGGAATTAAATAATCGAGACACAAATATTTATATTATTTTATAGTAAATTATATGTATTTACATGCACTAAACGGATAAAAGAAAAAACATAACCTAAACTAATATAATCCCTAATGCTAGCGCAACAGTTAAGGCCCTATAATCTGGACCTCGAATTAATTAACTCCCATTCAGAGGATAAAACAAAAAAGAAAACGTACCTTGACGTACTCCCTATCATAGCGCAGCGGTAAAAGCCAGCTACTATGAAGCCCGCGACCTTGGTTCGAATCCTAGGTGCGCCAAACTTTTTTTTATATTTTTACA